TCCATTTGCCACAACACCTGGAATAATAAGATTAAAAGTTCAGATTGGTATTCTATTATATAAAATAATGAATTAATTTTCTTAGCTTAACTGCTAAAAGATTCATTTGAACTTAAAGATTAGTTAAAACAGAAGATTTATTATTAAATTTCACATCTAAAAAGATTTTATGAGAAGCACTGAAGATTTAATATGATTTAATAGTCATGCTTATGGTTAACCATTTAGCAAAAGGACCCATATTGAAAATTATTTTTAAGGTAAAATTTATAGTAATAGTCTCTTATATTAAGGTGCTTTGATCACACTTTGGGAGTATAAATGGGAACAATGTATTTTCACAAACCATTTAGCCCTAAATTGTAAAGTTAAACATTTTTATCCCCAAATATCCAGTAATTTCACTCAGATATATACTCCACAGAAATTTTTGCATATATGCACCAAGAGATAGTACAGAAATAATTCACTAAATCATTGACCATACTAGCACAAAACTGGCTTAACTGTCCATAGAAGGAAGATACATACACATAGAATAGTGACACAGTGGAATATTGAAAAGGATTGAATTTAAGTAACAATGTGGAAGGATCTAGAAATATTTCACTCAATATAACATTGAGTGAAAAAACAAGTAGCAGAGTACTATATACAGTAAGACATACTTTTTATAAAACTCAAAATCAAGCAAAACTAAAAAATATTGGGTTGGCCAAAAATCTGCTTAATTTTTCTGTAAAATAAAAGACACATTTTTTCACTTTCACCAATAACTTTATTGATTTGAGTATGTCGGCTATCTGCTGCATGGTGTAACAGTGATTGTTCTCAATTAATATCTTGATTTTATCACTGTTAACTTCAACTTGTCTACCTGACCTTGGAGCATCGTCCAGCAAGAAATTTCCAACATGAAATTTCGCAAGCCATTTTTGACATATTCATGTTTCATCAGTCACATCACCTTCTCTATACACTGCACAAATCTTTTCTTTTTTTGCATTTCAGTTGCATTTTTACTTTTCTTGAAATAATAAAGCATAATATGCTGAAGATGTTGTGTATTTTCTTCTCTCTTCAATATTAAAAGGGTACACAAAATTCACCAATTCGGATGTTTTTTTAAATGCACGCTGCTATGACAGCCATCACAATACAATTGAACAAAATTGTTTTGAATGACGTTAAAGACAACTAAGGGCTACTAGAGCCATCCTGAGGAAAAAACCAAATGAACTTTTTTGCCAACCAAAAACCTAGTGATGTAGAATCATGATGACATTATATTTTTAAAGACAAGGAAAAGGTAAAACATAGAACTCAGGATAGAGCTTCCTGTGGAGTATAGGCAGGGAGGTAGGATGGAAAAAGAATTCCTAGGTTGATACAAAGATTGGTCACGGTCCAGTTTTTAGGTTGGATAGTGGGTTCATGAGTGTAGTACTTAGGGTTGTTGTGCTTCTAAAAAATACTTTGATACACTCTTTTGTGCTATAGTTTTAAAGGTTATACATATAAAAATATATAATATTCATGAGTCATACTCAATACTCAGCAAACATTTATATGCAGATGGCAGGAACGATTAAAAAATACAAATCAAACTGATAATTGGGAAAATTTAAAATGTGCAGATAATTTCTAAACGTGTAAAGGCTCATTTAAAATTTATTTCAGGGGATTTTTATTATATTCATCAAGAGTTGCAGTTGAAGTCACTTTACATTTCGTTTTTACAACTTTGTAAAAAGTGGAAAAATCAAAAAAGAAGTGAGGACTTCATGAAACAATGTACTTGAAAATACATTTGTTATCAAACTCTGTTTTAAAGGTTTCTTTTAAAAAATTTTTTATTTATTTATTTTTAGAGAGAGGCAAGGGGAGGGAGAAAGAGAGTGAGAGAAACATTGATGTGCGAGACATACATCTTGTCTCTTGCACGCCCCCAACGATGGACCTGGACCACAACCCAGGCATATGTTCTGACTGGGAACTGAACCGGTGACCTCCCTGTTTACAGGCTGGCACTCAATCCACTGAGCCACACCAGCCAGAATTGTTTTAAACATTTCTTAAATCCTAAAGGTACAATTCTGAAAGCCTCTTCTGAGAATTTATTTTTAAAAGCTTTATGTTCTCTATATACTTTCAAGGCTGATGTGAATTAATTGCATAGTTGAAAATGGTTAATTACATGGTAACTATTGTGTCTTATGAAAACCTATGATAGCAATTAACTCTCTGTTCATTACATCATTTGTAATGGTAACATGTTTGCATAATGTACATTCTGTGGTACTCTTTTCTTCCCTGTGAAATTCAGATCCTATTTTACTTTAGCAACAGATCTTTCAGGCTTTTATGTAGAGATGAATGACAGTGAACTTGTACTTGTCCTCTGCACCGCAAATGGGTGAGATAAATGCTCATAGTACTTGTCCCAAAGGCTAAACGCAGAATCATGAATTAAGAACCTCTGTATTCTTTTGAGATTTCTGTAACAGAAATCTACTGAGAAGTTAGTACTAGAGAAGCATAAAATATAAACTAATCATCTCAGTGTCTGCTGACAATCAATGGGTATTAAGAGTGTTGAATTGGTGATCAAAACTGAGCTTGAGTTCCCAACTTCTCATTTGTGGAATTGTGATATCCACTTAACATCTTTGTGCCTTACTGTCATCATATTTATAAACAGAGATAATAGCTCCTCTGTTCTCCTCATAGGCTTGTTATGAGAATGGAAATAAGTTGATATATATGAAAAAAACCTTTATAATCTCAAGGGAATATGCAGATGTTAGTTTGTCACTAGAGTAAGATCTTTTTTATTTCTCAAATATATTAAAATTAACAGTAAAATATACTAAAAACATATAGGTCATTAAAATTACCATGTAAGCTACATGAACTTCTTAATAAAAATAAGAAAATACCTATAGGTTCTGCTTAAAAAATCATTCTATTTATTTCCATATAAATGAACTACTTAGATGTAAATATCAAAGAATATCTCCATAGGATCCTTAGGGTATCTAGATTTATTGATCAAGTCAAGCTTTTCTTTTGCTATTTAACCTCCAGAGAGACCACTGTGGTCTTTTCTCTTTTTTCATAGAGGTATTGTGGAAATGGAAATCATGCCTCTCATGAGTATCTGCTGCTATCATCAATACAGTAATGTTGTGGACAGGCTGACTGGGTCTCTAGGTTTGGAATTATACTTCTACTCCAGGGCCTAGTTTGACTTATAGTTCTGGAATCTTGATCAGGTTATCTGCAAGCTGCTTTTGCCATAGAGAAAAAGATTCATGTACAAAGAGCCTAATAATGCACCCTAAAGCCATTTGTTAAATTACAGTAAGAAACACTGTAAACTCACTTTCATAATAACACTAATGCATTACCTTTGCTTTATAGCTCCTAAAGGCTTTTGAATCCAAAATTTTAGTTTTGAACTTCATGACCTATGAGTTTTGGACAGAACGACCTAATTTATTTCTAAGCTATTTCTCTATTTATCACGTGCAAAATACCGAAAGGTGCAAAGCGGAACAGGAGACAAGTATCTTAGTTGTCACAAACAGCATACTGTTAACAGTTCTTCATATTTTCTTTCTGTTTCTCTGTGCATGTTTATGTAATTGAGATCATATTGTATATGCCATTTAAATGTCAAAGTGTTCTTTTTTTTCCTGGTTATGATGGCAATCTATGCCTTTTGTAAAAAACTTTTGTAAAAAAAAAGGTTGTAGAAAACAGACCTTTTCTACAAAGCAGGAAATGAAAACCACATATAATTTACTACTGCAGTTAACCACCACGAACATTTTGGTGTATTTCCTTCCAGTATTTTACTTTTTTATTTTTTTAAAACGTAGTCGGGATCATACCAAGGCAGGCGTCCTTGGGCAGCCTCTACTCGCCAGTCTAGCGGGCCGGAAGCCGCAGATCAGCACTCTTCTCTTTGGACAGGGGTAATGAGAGTGAATCTTTTCCTTTAAAGGTCTATTGTTACCGCATTCTAAGCAGATTGACACATTGTTCTCTTCTTTCCCCAACATCTTCAAGGCCCCTGACACCCGCCCATGTTTCAACAAGTTATCCTGATGGCTTCTGGAAGCCCATCTTGTTCTCCGAGGCCGTTTATTTCTTCTTTTGGAAGGACTCCAGCCCCCACTTCACCTTCTGGGAAGACTGAGAAAGTGGTAGGAGGCTGCTAGTTCAGAGCTTCAAAGGGACCTTCAAACCCGAACAGCAGAGTCAGAGCCCTCGCCCCGTGGCAGGGCCAGGGGAGGGCCAGGGCTCCATTAGGTGTCTCTCCGTGGAAGGGTTGTGATTAGGTACGGCCTTCGCAGCTAAGTCTCCCGCTCTAGGGACGCCGGCCGCTCGCAGAGAGGCCAGCGCACCTACACCTTTCCCGCGGTTATCATCAGAACTCATTTCCTTGTGAGACTCCGAGTCTTCACATTCTGCGTTCTCGGGAGGGTCCCTTCTCGTCGCGAGAAGGCCGCAGGATCCTCTTCGCCTCTTGGGAGATCCCGGTAGGCCGCTGTCACACAATACCGAAGGTCTGACATCCTCCCCGCTCTTTGCGAGCCGGAATAAGTGCGTCCCTTCTCGCTTGCCTTATGCCTGGCGCGGTGAGGACCGTACTATCGTGCCGCCTGCCGGAGGGGGGGACGCTCACGTGCGGCTCTTTGCTTTCCAGCCCGCAGCAGTAGCTCCCGGGAAATCAACGTTCACTCAACCAGGGTCAGGATTACACTGTTCTGGGAGCCCGCACTGGAGGGAGGAACAGCCATCCACTTAAGCTAGGCGGCGGACGCGCCCCCTTTCTTCCCCCTCTGTTCGCCTGGACCGCCCTGGGTTGCAAGCACGCCAGCCGCCGCCGAGCGTCCTCAGCCTTTGACAGCTCGGCCCGCACCTCGCTGCCTGGAGTCCCGGGGCGGGGCGAACGCGTTGCGGGGCGGGGCGAGCGCGAGCTGGGCGGCTAGGAGGGAGCGCGCGAGCGGAGCTGAGCCGAGCCGAGCCGAGCAGGGAGGTGCTGGGGAGAGACAGGCGGAGCCGGGCCGGCTGCCTGCGGCTCAGCGCCGATCCTGCTGCGTCGCTGGGCTCGGAGTACCTCCACCTCTGCTTAGGCTCCCGCAAAACTTTTATTCTCTTGGGCCCTCCGGGGTGTCTAAAGGAATCGGAGCACTCGGCCAGCTCTGCGCTCCCCTGCAGCGGCGGCGACCGAGGGGACCTGCATCCCTCGCCCGCCGAGCTCTCGAGCCCCGCGCCTCCTCACCTGGTGATCGCACCCCGGAGCAGTGAGGGGGCACCCGCGAAGGGGCCGCGCGGGCGCCAGCGCCCCCGAACTCTCCCGCCCACCGCGGCAGACCCGCCCGGCACAACTTTAACTTGATTCCCCTCGCCCAGCCCGGACATCAGCGGCTGCTGCCGCCACCGCCGCTGTCTCGGCCGCCGCCGCCGCCTCACAAAGGGGTGCAAGAAGGAGAGGCGGCGCGGGTGGCGGGCACAGGCGCTGGTGCGCAGGGCGCGGGCCTCGGGGTCGCGGAGGCCGGGAGACAAAAGGAAAACTGCCTCTGTTCGCCGTGCCGGATCGGAGCAGCGTGCTCACCCGCCTCCCGCCCGGCTCAGCGATCCTCCTTCCCCCACCTTCTGCTGCTGCTCCGCCTCCCTTCCCGCGGACCGTCCCCGCAGTGCTCCGGGACTCGTGAAGCCTTCGGGGCGCGCGTCGCTGCTGGTGGTTGGGGCTCTAGCGATAATAAATGATAGAGGATACAATGACTTTGCTGTCTCTGCTGGGTCGCATCATGCGCTACTTCTTGCTTAGACCCGAGACGCTCTTCCTGCTGTGTATCAGCTTGGCGCTGTGGAGTTACTTCTTCCACACTGACGAGGTGAAGACCATCGTCAAGTCTAGCCGGGACGCCGTGAAGATGGTGAAGGGCAAGGTCGCAGAGATTATGCAGAATGATCGGCTCGGGGGGCTTGACGTCCTGGAGGCTGAGTTTTCCAAGACCTGGGAGTTCAAGAGCCACAATGTGGCTGTGTATTCCATCCAGGGCCGGAGAGACCACATGGAGGATCGATTCGAAGTTCTTACGGACCTAGCCAACAAGACACACCCGTCCATCTTCGGTATCTTCGACGGGCACGGAGGCGAGGTAGGGGTTGTGTGTGTGTGTGTGTGCAACCAGGACGTTGTGTCCAGGGGACGGGGGAGTGGTGGTAGGACCGAAGTGCGAGGGGCGTGGTGTTGACCTGGTGCCGGGCGGGGCAAAGGCGCTAGTTACAAGTTGCCAAAAAAAAAAAAAAAACAAAAACAAAAACAAAAACAAAAACAAAAAAACCAAAAACAAACCCTCCCCCCAAAACCCCAAAACAAAAAAAATAAAAACCAACAATGCTGGATCTACACGGCTCAGCGATCCTTCTTCCCCGACACTATACTGCTCATGGGGGGAATTCATCCATAGCTTATTTCGTGCTTCATTATTTATGACGTTTCTCAAGGCCTGAACCCAGCAAATGACTGTGCTAGTTTTGCCGGGAGAGTTAATGGTTTCTATACTGAACTTCGGCTTGGAATCTCAGCGCCCCTTGTCTAGGGTTTGAGACCGAGGTGGGCACAAAGAAGGAAGAAAATACATATGTTTGATTCTCATTAAGGAAAAGAGATACAAAATGCAGAACCGAGTCAGTGGGGGCTCAGCGAGGATGAAGGAAGCTCTGACTCCTTTCCATCGCCTTCGCCCTAAGGAGGGATCAGAGGGACAGCCCTGCGCTTCTTGCCAACTCCATTAACTTTGCAAGTGCAATCGGGCCGGTTGACAGCAGCGCCTCTCCGGCCGCCTGTATTTAACAGGATCGCCTCGCGGGACCCGAGATGCCTCTGGCCTTTGCAGAGGTGGCGATGCCCGCAGAAGGTGCAATGTCCAAATCTTCCCCTGCGTCCTGGCCGGAGTGGGGCTCAGACGTCTTCCGGCTTCTAAAGCCTTTATTTGGGGTTCATGTGAAGAGGTTAGAGGCCGGTTGACGTCCATCCCCCTCAATTCTGCTGCACCCTGACTGCGCTTTGGGGCTTAGGTTTCCTGGAGGTCCTGGCGAAGATTGGCTTTGGTCCTTGGGCATCGACCCAGGAGAAGTGAGTGGCAAATGTGGCTCCAAAGAGCATCGGGCCAGCTATCCCATCTTTCTCAATTTGGCAGTTTATAACAGAGTTTCATTGTTGCATACTCTTTTTTTTTTTTTTTGGCAGCATACTTTCTTACTTATATCTTCCCTGTCTCCTTCGCCACCCCTCCGTCATTCTCCCCTCCCACCCCGCCACCCCCGCCCCAACCCCTGCTGCCACCCAACTTTCCCCCAATTCTCTTCTTGGCCCTTCTGGTCTCTGGCTGGGCTCTAGGAGATGTCATTCTGTTTCGATCTTTGCATTTTTTATTGGCATTTGTTTTGGGTGAATATTAACAAAGCTTTCAATTAGTTATCTGCATTCTGTCTTTGATACAAAGTCACTTCACCGACGTAATCTTTTCAAGATGCTGTATCTACCTGCCTTATAGAACCAGCTTTGCCAGGAAAGACAAACTTAGCTGGAAAATTTATTTGTAGAACTGAAATCAGTTTTTGCTATTTCCCATTCACCCAAACCCTTTCTGTGTCCTGCCTTTCAAAACGAAGGTTTCTCACTAGTTGTAGATTTGTAGCCTCCTGTGTAGTGTGGGTTCCTTTCCCCTTGGTCACAAAGTAGGTGAAAGATGTGAAGTTAATTGAGGGAAGAGATGCTGTGTACCTGGGTAAAAACATACCTGAAGGACATCGTTGCCAGTATAGTGACTGATTTGTTTTCTTCCCATGAGTCAGGATGCTTATATTTTCATTTTATGTTCTAGACTATAATCACTCATTTATAAAGCTTATATTTATCATACATCTTTATATTAAAGTTGCTGGCAGATGATAATCTGCTCCTGATCTTAGAAAGCACAGCTTTATTTTTAATTCAGAGGTCTGGATGTAATGTTAATGTTGTGAAACTTCAGCTTATGCTTGTCTGGTGTGCTGTATTGTCATGTTTTATTTTGCATGTGTAAATTTTAAGTTGCTATTTTAAATATGAAAGTTGCAGGCTCAAACAGATTTCAGGTTGAAAAATTTCCAGTACTGTCTTCTGGTAAATGTACCATCGAGAAAAGGGACTAGATAAATGATTTTATTTATTTATTTATTTATTTATTTATTTAAATTTTGGCTTGTAAATGGCAGTCTTCTCCCTGTGTCTCTTCACTTTGTTTTCTCTCTGTATGTGTCTTGATAAATGCTTTTATTGAACTTGCATTATTTTACATGTACAGGGCTTTTCATTAAATTTTTCAGTAATAGAGAAGATGATTATGGTTAACAAAACTATGAAATACTTTCTATTGTGCTTTATATTAAAAAGCCTGCTGTTTGTAAAATAAGATTATTGGCCTTCTTAAAAATTGTTTTATCTGTAACTTCCTACTGTATGTAGCCAGTTCATCATTTTGGCATTGTTTTTGGGCAAAATAAGAAGTTACAAAAAGGAGTTATTTATAACTTAAATAACAGGTAATTTCTTTCTTGCATTTTCTTTCATTCAAAGAAAATCCCATCATATAAATGTTGCCTTTTGTCTAGCTCCTTTAACAGTCACCAGTGGAGGGTGCCACTGTTTGATTTTGGTATAGATGATAGTTATCTTCTTGCAGAGCAGAGGTAGCTTTTCCTGAACTCTCTATTATTTATGTGTATCCTGTCTGTGGAATGCTACAGAAGATAACTGAGAGTTTTAATTTTATTTCTAATAATTTGAACTAATAAGATAGGCTATTAAAAAAAACCAGGGCCCACCTCCAATGGTAGTGCTTTTTAGATCCAGAAGGGACCTAAGCCACCTTGTGTGTCCATTTCATTCCATTTTTAGATGAGATATTTGTAGATGGATGGAGACATTGTGATCTTCCTAAAGCCGCATGGCTAGTTCAAGGCGTTCAGTTTGCTGATTTTAATATTAAACCACTGGTCAATTAGTTTGCATATTTACCCAGAAAGGTAGATAGCACACTAGGGATACAAAGGTGAATAAGATATGACTCTCATCCTCAAAAAGTTTCAGTGTAGTGCCAGAGTAGTTTTCAGTGTAGTTTTTGACCTGCCAGTCAAAAACTATAGTCGTGGTATGCTTAGGGCGATATGGAAACACTGAGGAGAGGGGCATTTAAATCAGAGTTGGAGGTGGGAGGCCCAGGAAAGATACCTTGAAGGCATTGTTTACTGCAAGGTTAAAAGCCTAGGCTTTGGCTTGACATCTAGCTTTGAATCTCTGTTCTGCCTTATACGAGGCTATGACCTTGGGCAAGTTGCTTCAGTAATTTTATCTTGGAGTTTTTAATCCAAAAAAGAATAATAGTACATATAAACTGTACCCTCATCAACTGCATTATACCCCATCTAGAGGAACAGCAATGGAGGGAAGCATATGGAAGAAGAAAGCTTAGTGACCAAGAAGTCTAAAGTGTTAGGGCAACAACATCCAAGGGAGAAGAGGCTATACATGTGAAAGCCACAGCACTAATCACTAGAAAGGTGTATGTTGGATATGTGCAATTCATTAGCCCAACTCCTTATATTCTAACTTCTGGTGAACTATTGACTCAGAATTCCAGGTATCTTAGCACTGAGAAAGCAACACCTTGGCTTCAGGTGCAATTTTCTGATTTGTGAAAAAGAATATTCATTGTGATCAATGAGTAAATTGGTGTTCTCATTTGTACTTCAGCCTCTTATGAGTTGGGTTCATATGAGTTAGTTCTCTTGAGTCTATTCAACTGCATATTTTTGACAGAGACATCTTTGGTCTTGTTATGCCAAGGACTAGACTCTGGACTGCAGTGACTTCTAGAAGGATAAGAAGCTAAAGAGCCTTATCTTGATGGCCTGATAGGCCAGCTTCCTCACTGACACCCTTGGGGTCTTGAGATATTCTAACCCCAATACTATGGGTAGATGGTTAACTCTGTGTGTGTGTGTAAATTATGACAGCGGTTATTTTGCTGTATAACAAAAGAGGTAAAAAGAAAAAGCTCCGATTATATCAACTGATGTGGAAACTTTATTTAAAAAGTTAAAACATATATTTATGAAAAAAATTTTCTGTTTACCTGTAATTTTTATCCACAGGCAAAGGTGGGTTTTTGTTTTGTTTTTACTTTTTATATTATCTAAAGAAATATCACCAATTCTTTGAGGCAACTTTGTCACTGTTCATGGCTGAAACCTATCTAGAAGAACAGATTGTTATGTATTCCATATGTTTATAGGCATTACTGAATAAAAGCTCATATATTATTCAATTATACAGTTGACAAAGCTTGGTCAGTGGTTAAGCTTAGAGTTCCAAACTTCATATCAGAGAGAAGCAGTACTTCAGAGGCCTTGTCAGGGGCTATGGTCTTGAGGCTCAGCACTTCTCAGAAGCTCAAAAGAGAAATTGCTTATGAAGGGTTGCCTAAGGGATCTATATAGTCTAGTTCTTTAGATCAGTGGTTCTTTTCTTGTCATGCTTCTCTTTGAGGATGTTGTGAAACTATAAATGTATCTCCCAGAAAAAGGGTCACGTGCATCAAATTTTGTTTATAATTTCAAAGATAAGCGGATGGCTCTGGATTTTAGGTTAGTCTAAGCAGAATGAAATCTGTTTCTGATAAACCTAGACCTGCAGCGAGCTGTGTACTGGGACCCCTTGGCTTGATCACCTTCCTCTCCATCATTTGCATATGTTGACTTGTGTGCTGTCATTTGCCTGTCAGGGTTGTTATGAGGGATGGTTTTCCAAAGCTCGTTGACAAATCAACTGAAAGGATGTTGTTGAGAACTTTTTTGTTAGGTTATATATTCTCTTTATGAGGACCAAGGGGGAGAGAGTTCTCTGATAGCTTTCTCTTTTTATCTTAAGGATGCCGAATCCTGTAACTGATTGGATCATTTTGTGTTTCATCAACAAACGCTGGCTGCTAGAAGTGTTAGAACCAAAACTCTGGTCTACCACTGGCAAATGTGCAGAATTTTACAGAGTACATTAATTTGGTACATGAATTTTACTCCCAGGACAGCTTATCTTTCCTACGTTCAGTTTTCT